GACACCCTTAGTTTCCCACGTAGAGTTCAGTGATTCGTCAGTCGCACAGGACGCCCGGTGCTCATCATGTCACGGGCCCTCCTTGCTGCCCGTCACCCAGTTACCCCATTGCTGCACCCACCGCCCCTCCCGCAGCCCGCAGTTTGTTTCCTAGAGTTAAGAATCTCTCACTGTTTAACTCTCTCTCTGATTTCTTTTCATTCCATTTTCCCTCCCTTCCCCTCGGGTCCTCTGCGCTGTTTCTTATCGTCCGCATATGAGTGAAACCATGTGATAGTTTCTTTCTCTGACTGAATGATTTCGTTCGGTATAATACCCTCCAGTTCCATCCATGTCGATGTAAATGGGAAGCACTCGTCCTTTTTGATGGCTGAGGAATGTTCCATTGTGGGTACATAATGTATATACACACCTTTATCCATTCATCTGTGAGTGGACATCTCGGCTCTTTTCATCGTTCGGCTGTTGTGGACGTTGCTGCTATGAACATTCGGGTGCACGTGCCCCTGCAGGTCACTATGTTTGTATCTTTGGGGAAAATACCTAGTAGTGCGATGGCAGCTCGGTTCTTCCCGTCTTGAGGGAACGCCCCAGCTTGCACTCTGTGGAAGACACTTTGATTGTGCCTGGCACATGCTCAGTTTTATGTGTAAGATCCCGGTATGGTCTAAGAGACTCTTAATCTCAGGAAACAAACTGCGGGTTGCCAGGGCGGGGGCAGGGATAAGGCGGCTGGGTGATGGACACTGGGGAGGGAATGTGCTATGGTGCATGCTGTGAATTGTGTAAGCCTGATGATTCACAGACCCGTACACTTGGAATGAATAATACATTATATGTTAATTAAAAAATAAAATAAAATGCCTTAAAAAAATCCCATTATGGTCAAGCCTCTGACACAATCCCTAAGCTCAGAGGGATGTGTCAGCTTCCATTCCACCATGAGCTCCTTTGACTGCTGAGACTTCTTTCTTACTTTTATTAACTAATTTAGCCAATATTATTGATACTTTAGGATGGTCCAAGTGTTGCTGCAGACGAACAGAGGCAAATAATTCTAGTAGAGTCCACGTCCCAGTGCTCAGTCTATCTTCGTGTGAATTCCTGCACTGGCTCTAGTTGTGCCGCATGAACCGCGGGGGGTGAACTCGGTCCCTTTCTGCCCGGCTGCCGTCCCCTCGTGTGAAGACGGTTCTAAGGCCTTAACTCGGCCTTTTCTGACTAAACAGGTGCGGAGCTTCCCGCGGCTGCCCGGGTCGTGGTGGTCGCCTGCTGTGTTTCCGGAGCCCCTTCCGTGGCCACGGCAGCAAGGAGCGAGCCGGGTGGACGTTCCCCAAGATGGCGCTGGGGCTCGAGTCCTGTGCCCGGGAGTCCGCTGACTGCCACCTGCCTTCTCGCGTGGCCTCCTTTCTCCTGCTCTGGAATTAGCCTCCATGTGTCGTAGCTTTCCTTCGAGCGTATTCTTCAGCCCCGTCAGCTCCTGCCTGCTTCTCCCGTTCTGCTGCTGGGACCCTCCCCAGGCCTCCCGTAGCTGACCTAACTGGGCCCACCCAGCCCACAACGTGGTGGGGTTAAATCACTTTTAAGTTTTCATTTGTTGTAAATGCTTTGCTTTAGTTGTCCCGAACTCCTTGGCCTCTGAGCTAGACTTCCTCATGGCCAGCAAGGAAGCAGAATAAGTGCTCTCTGTGTTTGTGAGGCCAGGGTGCCCTGGATCATAAGAGGCACCAGTGTTTTGTATATCACACACACACACACACACACACGCGCGCGCGCGCGCGCGCACGGTGGTCAAGTAAACCATGCCACCATGCTCTTGTATCACTTAGAATTTTTATTTATACTTTTTGAAGGAAATCTTTTAGACTTTTTAGCAATAGACTTTCAATCCCATGTCACTCTTATAATAAATAAAAACCAATCCCATCATGTTTCAAAAGCTTATTCTTAAACTGTTCACATTATATATCAATAAAATGCTTCAAGAGTGAACATCCTTGCTGGAGGTTCTGGACTTTCAGGTTTGATCGAGGACTTCATCAGCTCAGACGTCCTCTTCTCGATGTCCTCTGCCTGCAACATCCCTGAGAGACATTTTCAGGCAGAGGTGGATTTGTTTGTAGCTAATGAAGCTTAGGATTCCCAGGTCCTCACTAGCGAGATCGCCTTCCTTTTCCTGCATAGACTACCACATTATAGAATTTTATCATATGCAAATGTGATCAAAGGATAAGTAGCCACACAATTTAGGGAAACATTCAAAAAAATCATGTCAGGCATCTAATTAATAAAAACATTACATTACATTTTGGATTGTCGTATTTGTCAATTTTTTAAAAATTTATAACTTGTTATGATTTATTTTCTCTTTCTTAATAACTATTCACTGTTGTACCTAATCATATTCACAAATTTATATTGTGTTTCTCCAAGTTACGTAAATCCAGGGATCAGTAATATCCACGTTTGCCCTATTCTTAGTTACAAGTTTTTGGTTTAAATTTAAATCTGCTGGCAGCTGTCGACCAGTGGTGCTACTCACATCATCATGGTGATAACACTAATTTTTATGACTCATGCGTGTAATTTTGATCTGTATAGCTTCTTCAGCATTGATGGAGTTATTCCGAGGCGTGTTGAAGTACACCATGATTTCATTAGCATTTTCTATTTGACTGTGCTCAGTTTTGTTTTTTCCTTAAATTGAAAATGTTGTTGGAAGTTAAGGAACTTCTCTTCAAAGTCAGCTGGAAAGCTCTGATGAATTGAAGTTCTGCCAGTGCTTGAATTAGTCACACTAGCCCCTCACTGCTTTAAAAACCTTTTCACGTAATCCCAAAGATTGGGGCATTTTTTCCTGCCTTTAGTTGATATATGATAGCCAATCATTTAACCTTTATTTTTAATAATTTTGAGCTTATAAGAAGTGAAAAAATGGCGTGAAGAACTCTTGTATACTCTTTCTCCAGATTCTTCAATTATTATGTCAATTACGTCAACGGATTCATCATTCCCCAGCTCCCTGTATTTAGGCATATTATTGTCCTCAAGCATCGAGAGTAAATGAAAGACGCGCTGTCCTGTTGCGCCGTAAGGCTTCCATACGCATTCACTGAAAACAAGCCCACTCTGCTGTGGAGCTCCTGTACAGCACGAAAGGTGCTGCCGTGCCGCCTGTTCCAGTTCTGCTGATTGTCCCCATGATGTCCTTTCTAAGGTCCAGGAGCCATCAAGGGGGGCACAGTGCTTTTCCCTGCCGTGTCTCTTGGTCTGCTGACCTGGACTGGTGTCTCAGATTTTCTCTCTTTCATGAACTTGAAGTGTTAGATGTGTACTCCGGAGAACATCTTTCGTTTGGGGTTTGTCTCATGTTTTCACATGATTAGATTCATGTTTTGCATCTTTGGCTGGAATATCTCAGAAACAATGCTGGTTCATCTCAATGCATCATTTTGGCTGGCACATGATTCCTGTTGATATTAATTTTACCATTTGGCTAACATTGTGTCTTCCAGGCTTCTCCATTGTGAAGTTAACAAATATGTTTTAAGTTCTTATATGGATTTTGTGGGAATACACTCTGAAATTATGTAAATATCCTGTTTCTCATGAAAATTTTAGCCACTAGTTTTAGCTTCCATTGAATGCCTACTGTCTTTATAAATAAGCTTACTGGAACACAACCAGGCTTATTCTTTTATGTAATTTGTGTTGCTGCTTCTTTGCTAAAAAAAAGATTTGAGTATTTGTGACAGAGACCAAATATTGCCACAAATCCTAAATTATATACTATATGACTTTTTTACAGAAAAGCGTATTGACTCTTGCTCTTCTGAGCCTGGAAATCTGTATTTTAACAAGTGTATTGATATTTTAAAACACTGCTGCAGTGTGTGATATTTCCCTCTGTATTCCTGCAGCCTGTGCTTTACTACTATGTATCTCTTCAGCCGTATAACTTTATGTGCTCTTTTACATCTTATCTTGTGAGAGTTACATCTTAATTTTATAAGATTTACAAAAGCAGATGATAAGATTAATGTATCTCTGAAATACTACTGTAAAGACAGTACAGAGAGTGGTATGCTAACATGGATTTTCAATAAATTCTCTTTGATATTATGGTTTGTTGAAAAACTTCACAAATTTGAGTAGAAGAAACTAGAATAGTACTCATAATTTTGAGCTTGATTCTCTGACTCCGAAGTCCTCCAATCTGTTCAAATAATGCTATCGGATCAGGGTTCTAGAGGTCAGCTTTGAGTTTCTTATCCCTGGTTTCAAAACACAAAATGCTTCACAATCTCCCCATATCCTAATCAATAGTACCACATTTCTTAGTCTGGCATTCAAGAGCCATCATGAGCTGGACCCATTGTCTGGTGATTAAAGGAAGATGTGGAAGCAGAAGTGGTCCTGGAAAGGGAACAATTATAAGGGTTTTCCAGCATGTTTCGCTCCTGGCCGTCCCTTTCTCAATGCTTTGGACAGCTCAGACTATCCGCTCTTTACCATACATTCCCCATATCTAGGTTTCTCTTTAGATCACGCATACAATCCTTTGGACACACTTTGTACTTTATCTGTATCTCTCTTGGGGAAACTTTTTCTTTGATTTGGTGGGGGGGACTTACCTTTTTCTATCTTGAATTATGGTTCACTATATCTGCCCCACTACTTTGTAAGATGGTTGGGGATACACTTTGTATCTGATCGCCCTTGGTAATACAATGTTTACCTTGTAACGGATCCTCAATAAGCCATCATCGAGAACCCCCGGTTGTGAACAGTGCAGCTCTGTTGGAAAGCTGGTGTTTGTCTTGGGATCTTTGAGTTCCATTTGCTGTAGGATCTGAAGCTAACCGGAGAGGTTTCAGGCCACTTTGTGGTCCTGTTCCCTGTTGCTCTGTCTCTGAAAGCCTGTAGCAGGAGTATCATAAGCTGTGGGAGGTAACGTCTGCAGAGCGCTACAGAGCGCTCTTTTTTTTTTTTTTTTTTTTTTTGCCAAATTACCTTCTTTTATTCGACTTTCAGGAAAAACACCAACCTTGTCAAATTTCTACACAAGACTTCTGTAAAGCACAGCGGACCCCGACCCAGACAGGGTGGGCATGAGGCGCTCCCTCCATCAGGGTTTGAGGCGTGTTGAGCGCCGTGGTAGTGGGGGCGGAGGGGGTTGGGCTGTCACCTTGCTGGGGGTTTTCGCTGGGTCCTGGGTGCTGGGCTGGGTGGATGTGCGGCCTCCAGAAGTGAACAGAGCAGTCAAGGCGTTGCGGGCATTGATCGCACACCGGCGGCTCACGGGCCTGCTGGTAGGGCTGGGGTTCTTGGCTTTCTTGTATTTCTGCAGGTTCTCGAAGTGGGCCAAGGACTTGCAGTGGGAGAGCTGTGCCCCTGAGTTGCTGTGGTAGAACTTGTGGCAGATGCGGCAGATGTAGCCCATCACGGGCACCAGGAAGTCCACACCGTATGCGGTATTGGGGCTATAGGTCTCTGAGCCTTTCCACTCCTCTATGGACATATCTCTGGACCTCATCTGCTTGCAGAATTCCTCCTCAACCTCGATCTCTTCTTCCTCGTCGTCGTCCTCCTCCTCCTCCTCTTCATCACCCTCAAAGCAGCCCACGGCATCCACCGTGATGAAGTGGTCCTCATCCTGGCCAGCCGTCTCCTTCTCGAGCATCTTCAGCTCCTTGGCTTTGTCCTTGTGTCCCTGGGACTTCACGTGCTCCACAAACTTGCGGGGGGTCTTGAAATAGCGGTTGCAAAAGCTGCAGAAATGTCGCAGGGATTGCTTGGCGATCTTGTGGTCCTGTGTCCTGCGGTGCTGGATCAGGTCCCCCATGTAGTAGAGCTGACAGGTGTTACACAGCGCCTCAGCGGGGGCTCTTCACCTTCTCTCTCCAGCACATCCCGGGGCACGGGCAGCAGGGACAGGAGGCAGGCCTGGCTCGTGTGCTGGAGCTCCCCGACCTTGGATGTCTTAAGCAGAAGACAAGATGAGGTTAGTTTGACTATTATTAACTCCTCCTGTTCCGAGTACAGCAACAAGCTCTTTGCCGGTTAAGGGGTTCTTCCCACTGTTATCAGCAGTGCTTTAATTCGACTTTTTCCAGATGCGGAGAGCTAGGAACAGAAAAAAGATACATGTATAGGTCAGGGGGAGGGTAATCAAGGCAAAATAGCAAAAAGGAAAGAGACAGACATCCGCACAAACAGACCTAGATTTCAATCTCAAATTTGCCAGAGTCACTGCGGAATGCTAAGAAATTTACATGACTTGGAGACCCAGTTTGCTAATCAGTTAATGGGAATGGCAGCTGCATGGTGTGGTAGTTACTAATTAATGTAAAATGCCTGGGGTAGGTGTTTAAAAACTTACTGTTGTTTAAAGGTGCTTTGGAGAAACTGGCCAAAAGAAAGGACACTTTTTTAAAAAAAAGGGCCCCGTTGACTATGAACACACTGAAGAGAGAGACTGCATCTATAATTAAATAAATTATTTTCTTTTAAAGATTATTAAATTAGACTTTTTAAATTATGGAAACAGAGTTATTTATTTATTAAAGATTTTATTTATTTGACAGAGATCACAAGCAGGCAGAGAGGCAGGCGGGGGTTGGGGGGAAGCAGGCTCCCTGCTGAGCAGAGAGCCCGATTTGGGGCTCGATCCCAAGACCCTGAGATCATGACCTGAGCCGAGGGAGAGGCTTTAACCCACTGAGCCACCCAGGCGCCCCAAAATTATGGAAAGAGATTTAAATGGGAGTTGGAAGATACAAGGTCTGGAGCACAGCTGAGAAAACACTCAGATGACCAGAGAAAGACAACTTCCCCATTAGAGAGGCGATGAGGTAACAAGAACGGGCAGTGATGATGTGGGTGAGCTTGCAGGGGTCATGGCAGAGAATTGAGGGCATTTCCACTTCATGGCTTTTATAGTCTCCATTAAGTAAAAGGCAAGGTCGTCTGTGAATAATGAGGAGGCACGGAGGGGAAGGGGGGGACTTGACGTAGCTACCAGAGGGTAAATAACAATGGATGTGGGTTCATTCAATGTTAAGCTTTTACCCTCTGAAAACTTTGAAAAGACAGTAAGGTAGCAGAAGTTATGGCAGGTTGTCCAAGTGTTGGGATGTGGGATCCAGGTCGAATAAGGAAAGCGGTGTAGACAACAGTAACCTTTGAAAGGGAGAAAGGACTGGAGGGCTTGTGGGGATCCGGAGCAGGTGAAGTGGGAGGGATTGAATGAGAGACCCAGGAAGGAGACTGCATCTGGACAGTCGTATGTCTGAACTGAAGATCTCAAAAATGGTGCGATGAGTCCAGGGCGTGACTGTGGGAGGGGGTAGCTGACGTGGCGGGGAGAGAGGCCTGGTGATGGTGAGGCCAAGAAATTGATTTGGAGGCCTTGACTATGTGAACGCAAAAGCCATTCTGAAGTGCATCATGATGGATAATAAAGAGAGTTAACTGAGTAAGAATTCTTAAAGGAACAATGGCTGTAGGGTGCGGGGACCACAGGAGAGGGTAACAGATGAAAAAGGAGGACAGCTTACACAGGTCAAGGGTCACCTGGATATTTAGAGAATAAATCCAGGGTGCTTCCAGGGACACTCTGGCCCACCCCACCCTCCCTGCAAACAATCATCCTTCTGTTGATTGAGTTCAAGCCTGCCATCGCTCTGTGTCTGCCTCTGTTGTGAAAATAGACGCTTCCTTCATCTGAGATTCTGGTCGGTAAATTGGTAAATGTTCCTTCCTGGCTCTTGTGCTTGAAGCGATGACGTTGGTTTCTGATTCTTCCTGTCCCTCGAATCCAATACTATACTTACTTCTGCTGTCCACTTGAAGCTCAGGTTCGGCTGTAAATCCCAGTGACTTGTGTCTGTTTGATTCTAGTCAATGAAACAGCCCCTGATCAAGACTTTTGTGAAAACTCTGGTACAACACATACTCCAAAAAATCCTCTTCTTGTGATGGGAGGAAGGGCACGTCAGTATTTCCCAGCAGGTGTGTAATTACTTTGTGGGTGACACCTGCGACTTGTTCCCGCCCATACTACTCAGAACGGCTTCTCTTCATGAGCTCATGATACACGTCCTTGCAGGAAGGTCATTTTGAGCTAAATGGTTAGGATGATCAAATGGAAAAATTACTGGAAAAGACTCCACTCATGTAATTGTTAACATAATAAAGTTTCAAATTAGATATCAAACAGCGCAGCAGTGTTTTGTTTCTTAAAAGTGATATTAATTTGCCTTGGGGATCTGTATATTTTCTTTTTTTTTTTTTTAAAGATTTTATTTATTTATTTGTCAGAGAGAGAGAGGGAGAGAGAGCAAGCACAGGCAGACAGAATGGCAGGCAGAGGCAGAGGGAGAAGCAGGCTCCCTGATGAGCAAGGAGCCCGATGTGGGACTCGATCCCAGGACGCTGGGATCATGACCTGAGCCGAAGGCAGCTGCTTAACCAACTGAGCCACCCAGGCGTCCCAAGGGATCTGTATATTTTCTTAATATGACTCTGCCCCATCTTGAGATCTCTTCTCATAAGCAATTATCCTTAAATATCGAAACAAGTGCTGAAGGTGTGTAGTAATGGTTTCGAGAGCACTCAGAAGACGCTTGCCCATGGACTGCTACACAGCGGACTCACTGACTTGAATGTAGTCTGTTTACTGCAAGTGTTCTGCTTCTGCTAGTCCACAGAGAACTAAATTCCTCTCAACAGTGAAGTCCCATGCATTGACCTGAAGAACTAATTCTTATCGTCTCCTTCACCACAAGGCATGCGAATTCTGTGGAGCAGTACATATAGTTTGAAAAAGTGTAATCACTACTAAAATGTCCTTTTTTATTGATATAGAATCCTGTTATTTTTGTAACAAAAACTTCTGAGAGAAAAGCCCAATAAAATCCTTTTGGCTGGCAAGACTTATACAAGACTATCAATTATGTGTCAGTGGCTTTCATGGACAAGAGGAAACTGGTGTTTATGATTTCTATTCTAGACTACCCATTTCACTTTCCTTTGCCTTCAGCAAACCTGTGAATCATAGGGACTTGACAGGCAGGGTGAATTTAACCTTTATTTCCTACTGTCTACATATGATCATTGTAATTTTCTATTAACATTTAGTAGGTCCACACTGGTGCTGGCCAAAGAGTGGTGGATAAGAAAAACGAATCCAAACAAACAATTACTCTATTCTAGTGAGGGTAAATTGCCTCTGCTTCCATGAAGAATGGTAACTGATGTAATCAACTTGCTACCAGTTAGCCAAATGGTCCTTACTGCGTGGCGCCATACTGAATCCTTAGAGTTGACCGCAGTAGTTAACAAATTGGACATTCAGTTCTTGTAGACTGCAAGTCAAAGAAGAACATGTTGATGACATCCCTCCACCTGTGTGATCTCTGGGCCATGGCTCACTGCTGCCCTACCTTCTTTGAATGGATCATGCTCAATCAACTTCCTATATCTTAAGTCTGATCTATTAAATCATGTTAACTTCAAGAACATTTCCTTCAACAAAGGATGGAAGAGGGAGCAAGAATAGAAGTTCAGTTCAACAAAAACTTAGTTCAGTTTCTTACCCAAGTCTTCAAGCCGCATCTGGGACCCCTGTAGTATGTAAATACACATTAGAATGTTTTCTTGATAAAGACAGTGCATAGACCCTTTATGCCAGCACGCTGTGGTCATTAAACACCTGGTTGGGAGTAGCCAAGAGGACTAAAGAGAGACTCAAGATTTAAAAATTCATTTTAAGTGAAAACTGTTCATCTCCTTAGAGGTTAAACACTCGGGTGACAGGAGGGCCGTGTGGTGACGTGAGTGACAGGGATTGGGTAGGGATGAGGTTACCTGCAGAGCCTGTAGTACTCTCTTCGAAGAGGCAGCTTCTCCTCTCCTCCAGACTCTCACTAACAATGAATACTTGGGTCTAATGCTCATGTTTCCACTATTTTGTTCTCAAGAAAAGACAAATTTGGAAATCTGTTTTTTTTTTTTTTTAATATGAAAAAATCTAACTCTTTACAGACCAAGTAGGATACTGCAAAAGTCTAAACCCAGCCTAGGACCAACAGTTTGTAACTTCTGATTCAGGTGTAAGAAATCAGGTGAATAAGGAAAGGGCAAATTAGAAGATAGTTGTGCAAAATAGGTGAAGGTCGATAGAGAAAATATTTGCTTCTTTCAACCAATATATTTCGTAAGTGTTGGAGATTAATATCAGGAATTGTGACTGAAGAGATCCAAAAATTTAGAAGTTGGATTGTCATTCTATCTGGACATCATCATACATCACTGCCCTCCCAAATTTCTTCCTAAAAAATGGAAATTTTGCTTTAGGAATTTATATATTCCTCAAAGTCCATTTTCATGAATACCCAAAATGCTTCTTTATGATACTGCCATGTATTTGCTTTCCATAATCTGATGCTAGGCAATTTATTGATAGAACATTGTTTTCATAAATGTACCCCTGTGAGCCTTGAAAATATTCTTCTTTAATATGCATCTTTTTTTATTATGCTCCATTAGCCTTGAAAATAGTCTATTTCTTTTTTGTCCCTTTAGACTACTAAAATATGCTTGGTTATCAATTTATTCAACACCTTTATGGTTTTTTTTAAAGATTTTATTTATTTATTTGACAGACAGAGATCACAAGTAGGCAGAGAGGCAGGCAGAGAGAGAGGAGGAAGCAGGCTCCCCACTGAGCAGAGAGCCCTATGTGGGACTCGATCCCAGGACTCTGGGATCATGACCTGAGCTTTAACCCACTAGGCCCCCCAGGCACCCCAACACCTTTATGTTTTTAAGATCTCATTTATTCCATGCAATTTTTGTGCCAATCTGTGTTAGATGCTGAGAAAGCCACAAG